ATGCAGACATACACATTCTTTCTTTTTTTCCTTTTGAATGTTTAGAAATGATGTTTGTACATCTAGATTTCATCTGCCAGTCAAGGCAAAGGCCACGCTGTGCTTTTGCCAACAAATCAGCACTGCTGGTACAATTACACTATATTTTGATTATTTGTTGTTTCATGATGAAAAAAACATCCCCCGAGGGTATACGTTTCTCTGACAACCAACAATATATGTCCCTTTTGCTGTGCTGTATGTCAGACTTATACAGAATGTGATATTCACAGGTTCACATTTCAAATGTTTGAGGGCAAGCTGTACTCATTTCATATTTATGTGTGGACGTATCTACCTCTTTGATCTTTGTTAACTATAATTATAATCTTTTGTAGTTGTTTTTTGGCCAATTTAAACTTTTGATGTATTAACAAAATATGGAATGGCAGAAATTTGGCTGTGTCTGTTTTCTGTCCAGGAAACAACAATCTGAATTAGAGCACCAAATATCTGTCTATATAGAGCTAAATTTAAATAATACTTTGTCAATATGGCCTGCCACTCAAACTGTTCATCACCTCCCATCATATGTGTCAGCCTGTGCCTCATGAATAGACAATGACAGGCAGTGTGTGGGAAGTCCCTTTTGATGAATCTGGACTTGTCTTCACTTAGCAACAGCTTATTACTGCCAGAGTAAAAAGGGCTGAAAATACATCATAATCTATTTTATGGCAATTGTTGTTTTGGCAAGGCTGCTGACTAACCACCCCCTGGATTAAATGGTTCTTAGAGTGAAAAGACTGGTAAATCTATGGATAAAGACAAGGTGCAAAATACCCTCTGTTTACGATGTTACAAGAATAAAACAAAAATATAACTTGTATTCCGACTTTGCTCTGTACTTTGTTGAAACACCTTTGGCAACATTTATTGCATATGATGCAACGAGCTTTATATGCAAGAATGCACACCTATTTTGGGGCAGAACCTCTCAAACTCCATGTGGCTGGATGGGGAACAGCAGTGCACAGCCATTTTCAGTTCTCTCAAGAGATGTTCAATCAGGTTCAATCAGGCTCTGGTTCTGATAGGACATTCACAGAGTGGTCTTGAAGCCACTCCTTTATTATCTTAGCTGTGTGCTTAGGCTTGTTGTATTGTTGGGAGATGAACCTTAGCCCCAGTCCGAGGTTGGGGGTATTCTGGAGCAGGTTATCATCAGGCATGTACATTCCTCTCTCATTCCATCTTTCCCTCTACCCTGACTCAACCCTCCCACTTTTGCTGCCAAAAAATATCCCCACAGCATAATGCTGCCACCACCATGCTTCACTACAGGGATGATTTTGGCCAGGTGATGAGTGGTGCCTGGTTTCCTCCAGACATGACACTCGGCATTCAGGCCAAGGTGTTCATTCTTTGTCTCAGACCACAAGATTTCGTTTCTCATGGTCTGTGAGTCGAGTCCTTCAGATGCCTTCTGGTAAAGTCCACACAGGGTGTGTTTTTTATTGAGTCATCTCTACAATACAAGCCTGGAAGAGACCTAGTGGTTCCAAATTTCTTCCATTTGATGATGGAGGACGGTGGCCACTGTGCTTATTGGGTCCTTCAGTGCCACAGGAATTTTTCTGTTCCCTTCCTTGCTTTGACAGGTGTGTTCTATGTCCAATCTCATGTCCAATCAACTGAGCATCCTACAGATGGACTCCAGTCAAGTTGTAGAAAAATCTGACAAAATGTGGAAATAGGATGTATGTGACCTCTATTTGTTTGTGTCATGGCAAACACTGTGAATACTTATGTAATGTATGTTAATGTTTAGTTTTTTTATTTTTAAAAGATTTGTAAGAATTTCAAACAAACTTTCTACACATTGTCATTTTGGGGTATTGAGAATAGAATATTGAGGGAAAATGAACTGAATCCATTTTGGAATAAGGCTGTAACATGATGAAACAAGTGAAGCATTCACTGGATTATCAGCAAGGGTTCTGCATCATTTTCTGTGAACAAGTGGATGATTTCTGGGAAGAAACACCGTGGATGAGTTTTTCAAAATTATTTTTTTGGCCTTTGAGCACCACAAGGTCATCTAGTTCATTGTATTTAAGAGAAAAATTCTGTACATATGCTCTCTAAAAATACACCAATCAATAATAAACCCTCTCAATAATAATAAATTTGAAATCGTATTTTTCCATCTCGACTTGACAATGGTCAAGTAGACACTAAAAAAGCAATTTGGGAACAGGACCAGTGTATTTTCTTATTCTGATTCTACAGTCATCAACTCAGTATAGCAATTTGTGTTTTTAATTCAGTTCCCTTTTGTTGTTTTTTTGTTTTCAGCTTAGTACTCATACATGTCGTGTACTTTCTGTAGCAGCCATATAAAGTATGGCTATGTCTATAAACTAGTTTAGATCTATTAGGCCTGTGTTACATACACCCAGACTTTTAACTAACTCACTGTCATTCTAATTCAGGTAGCTGCACAGATAAAATGTTAAGAGGGTACAGGAAGCTAATGCTGTGGATGAATCAGCATTCTGAGAAATTCCAAAATTGCTGTTGACTCACTGTTATGACTTACCGACACAGCTAAATAGAACATAATTAGTGCTATGTGTTGCACCTGTGCCTTTTCTTATACTTACAGAGAAAAACAGTGCAGAAGGTCTGCTACGAGTGTTAATGTGTGTTTAATTTTATTTTATTTTTGTCAGCACTGCATCAATTATATGGAGTGCAATAAAGTAGTGAAAAAGAACCCTCAATATTTTCACAGGTGCAGGTCGAAGTAATTACAGGGTTTTGAAATACTTTTGGTTTAATTGTATTCAGAAATTTGATGGGAGAAGTGCATACAATACACAGCTAATGTGTTTTATATGCAAATGTTGTTTAGTTGTGTTACATGTTACACATTACACTACAATTAGGATATGTTGAAGATACTGCTGCTCATATTCTTTTGACCTATCCAACTTTCTTCTGTTGGTTGGCTGGCTTGAAAACACTGACTCTACCTCAGTCTCAAAAGTTGGTGTGACTGACCAGGGCAAAGGTTAATAGTCTTTGCTTGGTCTACCTCTATGTCAAAGCAGTGCTTTTTTCTTCTGCATTAACTTTGAGATAGGTGTCTTCTGAGAGGGGATATTTGATTGGCTGAATGCTATCCCTGACCTGTTTAACTGAGAATGATCTTCAGTGTGATGTAAAATGGAAACAAGACTCAATACTCCGTAAACACGGATAGCCCCAAGTGACCCTCGTACTGCCCACTCTCTGTTATGTATGTACTTTGTCAGATGCAGCTTATACAGTGAAAGACTAATTACAGAAGCTTAGAGAGCCAGTGCTGCTGCTTTGGGATACTACGTTCAGTACCCCAGTTCTACTGTTTCATGATAATTTGACCAAAAACAAATTAACTTGTGACATAACCTTGATGTAAACATGGTATGAAATAATAGCTTACAAGGCAATAATATATTCTATTAAAAGATAAACAAATTAAGCACAGGGGTGTTTAGTAATGGATTACATGTAATCACAATTATATAACCCAAATACAAAAAAAAGTAAACATAATTAGCCTGAATTAGATTTGCAAGATGTGATACCAGGTTATAGTTACAGTACTTGATTGTATTTT